CATTTCAATCTATGCTTTTTGCGTTTACCTTCTCATTTCTTTAACTATCAAGTGATTATCAAAGACTGAAATGGGAAAAGGGGCATTTTCTAAAGAGATTGATTTTTTCCCTCCTTTCCATTCCTTCTTTCATATCCAAGTACAAGACTATTGCAAGTTATGTTGTAATGCTGCAATTACCCACCCATCTACAGTTAATCAAGTGTGTAGTATTCATTTTAAACCTTTAGTCTAAAAGAAATGTTCTCAGGATGAGATACTGACAAAGATACACTTTTCCCTTTAGTACTTCCTTTAAATGGCCAAGGAATTTTGGTAAACGAAGCACTTGGGTCTGGATTTTATTTTATTTTTTTATGCGAACAGAGGGTGTTATCTGTCTCTCTTTTGTCTTTCATAACTCCCCTAATTTATCTTTTTTCCCCCCATTTTCCGTTCTTAGATGTGGATGAATGCAGCAGAGATGATGTGTGCATTCAAGGAAAGTGTATAAACACTGATGGCTCCTTCTTATGTTTGTGTGAGGCTGGCTTCAAGTTCAATGCTCATGCAGCTGACTGTGAAGGTAAAATACACCAAAACATATTTACGGTGTCCTGTTGTGGTGTCATGGTTGTTGTTGACCCCCAACTCTACCCTGAGCTTTCCTCTCTTTGTGTAAATCGGCTTGTTAGTAAAAGCTGTTTGATTGTCATGCTACATTAAGGCACAGTTAGGCACAGTTGGCTTTGATTGATCATCTATAGTGCATGAGGACTTGGTTTCAGTCAAAGTGTCTAGGCTTGGCTTAGAAGCCTTCCTCCATGATCCCAAGGGTGAGGTGTTTGGGTAGTTGAGCTCCTACTCCCTTGAGGTAAGTATGAATGACCCAATTGTGAGCGGGAGGTGTTTCTCCCTCTGGAACGTCTCCCTTAAACTCCTTCACAAGTTCTTTGGTTGCTGTGATAATATTGTTCTTGGCCATTTTTGTTGCGTGCCTCGTTTACGGCGGACAGCTACGCCACAGGCCTTCTGGCCAACTCCTGTTGCCCAGCCATTACACCAGAACTAAAAGAGCAGTAGAGAAAGCGTACATCTGTGTCTGACTGCATTCTCTGTTTTTGTGAAATTCTTAACAAATATTTTTCCAACTGTGTGCCTCCATACAGACCAGGATGAGTGCAAAGAATTTGGAAACTCTGTGTGTGGCACCTGGCGCTGTGAAAACACCATTGGCTCCTACCGGTGTTTCATGTCATGCCAACCTGGCAGCGTGGAGGGAGGATGTGGTGAGTATTGTAATGTAATAGAGCCAAAAACAAAGTTATTTTGTACATGTTGTAATGGTATACTTTTTTGTACCCATGGAGCGGCACTTGCTTGGTGTGGTTTTTGGTTTTGATATCATACATGTTCCCAACATTTTCTTGTAACTCTTTGGCTTCTATAAAACCTAGAACCTGTCACTATGCATACACGTCAAACTCTTTCCCCAGTTATAGGTTATAATATCATATGTCGTGTTGACATAGAGACTGATGTGATTCAAAACCTACAAAGTCAAACAAACAGTGGTGAAAAACACGATGAGACATCCCTGCAATTACTGTAAATCTTCTTATGAGGCCAGAAGTTGATAACGGTGTCATTCTTTTGACAGTTGATAAATTGGAGCACCTCTGGTAGCACTGCTGCTGCTGTTTTTTGTTAAATAAAAGATTGGCTTCTGGTCTCAAACAGTGCTTTTTTAATTTTGCACCCCATGTGGTCACCAGATATTCCTACCAGAGGTTGTATTTATCCAACAATTGTGGGTGCAACTTGTAAAGATATAATCATGACTTTTACATTGCATGAAGAATTACTGGTTTTGTGGAAGGTCTAAACTTCTTATAGATGTGTTTGTGTTAGAGAAAGATAACTTGAGACATTAGCAGTCAGAGATGCAATTTGAGTGCAGTGCAGCTTTGCATGTTCTCTGCAGGTTTTTTATTAAAACGGCAACTAATGACAAGAAAGAGGGAAATATTCTGCTGCAGCACTGACAGTGTCCCTTTACCACTCCATCACCCTGATCCCAACTAAGTGTGGCTGCCTCCTGAGTGCATTTTATGATTTTGTCTGTCTGGAACCGGCTAAAGTGTGCTGGGGCCTGTAGTCTGATAGGACTGATGCAATCCAGCTGCTCACCTCTACTCTTTTCAAGGCAGAGTTGGTAACTGCTAAGTAGTGCGTATTAGTACAATCTGGTCTACATATGCACTTGTTGTGAGTGTTTAAGGGGGTACAAAAGATCCTGCAACAAACTCTAAAAGTCCTAGCCTGAGAATCAAACCCCTGTACCTTCAGGAACTCGGCACCACAGTCCACTGTGCCTTGTTTTACCTCATGATAGGGAGATGTGGGAGATGCTGCCGTCACCTCAATAAAAGTCCAAGAAAGGAGCTCAATTACTTCAGGGCATTTTTGTCTGCTTGTAAAAATAATCAGATATTTAAGAAGAGACCAGAGGTTGTAATTTGCAGTTTCTGTGAGGGGCGTTGTTTTATTTTTACTCTCTTGCCTTCGAAGTGGCAGCGGTTTGTCGTTGGCTCGGCTTACTGCTCTCATTTAGATTTTAAAGCATTGACTAAAGAAGAAAAAAGCGAAAAAGCAGGGGTTGTTTTTTTTCCTCATTGCATATGTCACCTGCAATTGAACACAAACCTTCCACGATTCTCTATACGAAGTCGTAAATGTGCCTTTTTGGGTTATTGATTTTTAGTTGTAATTTCCCCTCATATTTATAAGCCATGCCTTGTCTTTAATAAGGTTTGCCTTAAGGCGGAATCTGTCTGCGGTCACACTCTTGCCAACCTCCAACTCCTATAAATCTATAGAGATGTGAAGACTTAAACATGTGCACTGCTGAGCAGATGTAAATTTTATTTTGTAAAAGTATGAACATAAGATACAGATGATGTATTAATCATAATATAGATAAACCCCTGTTGTTATCAACCTAGCCTTTATATCTGTTATGCTTCCCTAAAAATAATAAATAAATAAAAACACCTCTTCAATGCCTAGTCGTGTGTGAAATAAAAGCATATGTGTCCAATTAGACCGAGGGTTGCCCAGAAAACATGGGAAAGTGTGGGCGGTGTAGGGTGATCCAACAGTCAGTGATTCATGTTTTCACCACCATGTGCTCTCGATGAACTCACGGCATAGAGACGCAATCATAATACAGTCACAGCATAATCACAGCCTCACTGGATCCAGGAAGTGGGTCTTCCTGGGTCAGACCATTAGGATACATGCTCATTTAAGCCTGGTTCACCTCCTAACAGCAGCTTGTCCAATCTCAGCTGAACTTATCACCCTCTTATTCGCTTTAGTTCTTCCATCCAGGCAATTTGCAGCACTGCGTGTGTTCTTGCATAACTCATTACATGAAAGGACAAGAATAAGTAGCCCTGTATCCTGCTGGTTTGAGGCTTTTTCTCGGTGGAGATATCTAATTTTATTTTTATTTTTCCACACAAATCTGTTGTGATTAGTGCACCGAACCTGTCCTTTGATGACTCATCTAAAAGGTTAGTCAAAGAGTGCTGTCACTCAGATTATACCACAATCAGACACAAAGGCATTTAAAATGGCTTTGTTCTCTATGCTATCATTCCTCCTGGGGATAAAAATTTGATTGCATCTCATCACAACATATGGTTTGCAGTTCCATTTTACACATGAATGAAACGCTGCCTTCAGATAGTGATTATTCTGTTTATTAGCAGACATCCTTCCTCTCAGACCTCCCAGCTGTCTGCCGGTGTCATTCCAACATTCATAACTCCACTTAAGTGCTTTAAATTTGGGAAAATGTTTCACAAACTCCTCGCTACTAATAGGTTTCACATCACTTTGAAAGTATTCTTGACTTGGCCTTAGGGATACGTTTTTCAAAATTGCAGTTTTTTTTCAATTACATGGAATTTCCTCAAATCTAATTCTTGAGTTCACTATGCCAAGCATGCAAATCCAGTGGGCTGGTGATTTTCAGTACAGTATGCATTCATTTGTTCTTCCTCATCTCATCTTGCAACCAGTAGAGCCCACAAGTCTATTCAAGCTATTTTGATGCCTCAGCATTTCCTGTGAAACGTTTCACAAACAGCAGACAGTTTTGTCTCTGTGGTTTTATTAGCATGTGGGAGCCCACTGTCTCTGACCTCTGAGGTATGCTAGAGAACCAGCCAACTCAGGGTAGGAGCTCTGGAAACAAAAAGGACTAGTCCTCTCAGCAAGCCTCAGAAGACCGTCTGTGCTGGAGGAGAAGACGGGACTGTGGCTCAGAGGGCTGTTAAAATCAGATGAGTTGTGGTTTCTCTGGCCAACTTTTTATCTTTTCACATCTGATATAGCCTTTAATACTCTAAGGTGAAAAGAAACCAGTTTGAGCAATGTCCCATTTATAAAATGTAATATATACCACAATATACTGTACATTATATGATATAATACACCGTACTAAAATATGAGTGTCCTTTTGGGGAGATTTATTTTGGACTCAAAGATTTTCCAGTAGCTGCCTTGACAGGAAAATGTACACAATTAGACAGTAAAGCATGATAAGGATAGAAATCTTCAGCAGTTTGTTCTAAATGTCTGAAATGAGATGGACATTTTGCCTCTGTTGGTCAAAAATGTAATGTTTTTGCATTGCAAAAAGTCATTTTTGTAAATCGTCATATGACTTCAGATGAGTCAGTCATCTTTGAATTTAATGATTGGAAGGTTGTTAAAAAAAACTGAACAAAAATACAGTTTACTTTAACCCCACCCCTAACATCAAAGTTCAAATAATCCAGGTAAAATGTCCAACAATGTTAAGTCAGTCCTTGGGACGGTTTCTTTTTTCTTTTTTGTTGACAGGTTTCATCCTTCATCCAAAGGACTTCATCAGTCCGAGGAACCACAACAAACCCAGTCCCATAAGTAGCACACTCATACAGTTGGCCATGGCTGCCTCAGAGAAGTCGACGGGGGAGAGGGCGGACTCCAGAAATGATCTTATCACCATCAAACTGGTCCACTAACGGAGTGTGCTACTTGTGGGACTGAGTTTGTTGTGGCTCCTCGGACTGATGAAGTCCTTTGGATGAAGTATTTCAACAACGATGACAAAAAAAGCAACCGTCCAGTTGACCTGACCTACCCCTAACCCTCTTTACAATGAAAAACAGACAGAGTGCCCTTTTATTTCAACAGAACAGCTTAGTTTGAGCGGCCTGCTCATTTGTTTTTTATCCTAATGCTTTGCAGAAACACTGTTGCTGCCTCTTTCTTTTTAAATTAATGAATATGTTACCAATAAATTAATTTTAAATGGTACTACAACAGAGAGACACTGAGGTAAATCTAAAAATAATAATAAATAAACATGTTTATAGGTTTTTAGATTTTGAATATTCACTAAACTGTTTTTTTTTTTGTACTGAATTTATTCAGCAACTTGTGAGAAAGCAGACAGAAACCAGTGACAAGCTGAACCGACCTGAACAAATGCAAAAGTGTGAACAATAAAATCGTCTTTTTATTTTTACAATCATAATCAGCCTCTCTTTCCTGCTGTATCATTATTTGGCTTCTACTTCAATGCAGATGCCAAGAAATACTAAATCATGTAAGAAATTGCTAACAAATGTTCCCTAAACTGCAGTAGGGAATCAGCATGTTGGAAGGTCCGGCGTTAACAGCCTCGACACGTAGCATGTAGTTCTTCTCATTTATCGAATTTGTTTTAAGATTAGAGGGCTCTATCGGTGCCAGATATAAACCCTTACCCGCTTTACAAAACTGCTCCAGAACTCTTCAAGGATTTTTATTTTCAGGGGAGTAAGCATAGGCATTAATAATGTAAAAAAATAAAAAAAACAGTCTGCTTTGCCAGATCTGAAGTCTGTTTTTCTCACTCAGTCTGGGTGAACTCTATATGCTGCCTGCAGCTTGTAAACCATAGCTTCAGCGTTTACAGCTCTCTAGATCCACTCTGCATCCTGACTAAACATGTTAACGCAAAGCGAACGTCTCCTTGAATTAACTGATGAACAGCAACGTTTGAAGACCCTCAGAATGAACCGTCCCGGTCGTACACTGTTTCTGACATGTTATGAAGGCAGCGATCTGTGGTAATTGTGTGGTCGGAGTGGTAGTGGTGTTTATTTTGGAAAAGCATCGCCGTGTTTACAGAGGCACTTGGATATTCTGTTTTGCAGATTGAGGCTGTAAATATTAATGTTGTGCTCGCCTCTTCTTCCTGCAGATATTGATGAATGTGTCAACGAGACCATCTGTGGGAACCACGGCTTCTGCGAGAACACAGACGTCTCCTTCCGCTGCCTGTGTGACCAAGGCTACACCAACCCACCCGGGGATATGACCACATGTGTTGGTGTGTAAATACTGTCCAATAAATGTGTCACACTCAATGTGTCTTTTTAGGACCAAAAACAACAAATAGGATTTAGAAGATGGGCTCGAATTTCTCACAAGTAGGCTAGTTGTATCGTTTTTTTTTATTTTTTTTTATTTTGATAGCTTTAAAATTCGCAATAATCTTTTACCAGGTATTCGGAGAAATGTTTTATTACAGAGTGAGCTCAAATTGTGCATTCAGTTTCCGGTGCGACTGCTTGCAGCACTAACTGTGACTAGACATTTTCAGTAACCGTTGACCAGACCTCCAAATCATTCTGGAGGAGTTTCAAACCGTCTTTCTGTAGAAAACCTCTTAAGCAGCGATGTCAAAGGGCGTCCTCTCATAAACTAAAAAGGTCAGAATTTGACAGGAGATTTTATTGCTTCCCAAATACTTCAAATTAGTACAAATCCTTAAACCTATTTGTTTTCATATTAACAGGGTGTGTGAACTATAAGCAACTTGGTGTGAAAAGCTGATGATAGAAGACAATAACCACAATGTGAAAGTGAAAAGGACAAAAAAATATGACAATGGTTGTTTGGAGGAGTAAGCTGAGAAATATTTCCATTCTAAAGAAGCAGAGGACTTCAGGGTAACACTTTACAATAAGGTACACAAAATTTAACTAGTAGAGAACGCCTAAGGAATGAATCAGGAACAAATCAGGAGTTAATAGGTAGTTAACCAGTACTTATTGGGGAACACACAGCCCAGCCTTATTAGGGGACTACTGGTTAGTTACCTGTAAAACAAAGAGGAACTAATCAGGAACTTATGGGTAGTTAACATGGAAACTAAAGAGGAACAAAACAGGAGATAATGGGTAATAAAATCAGTAATCACAAGGAAACTGGTTTTTGACAGTTATGAGCTGTGACCTCACTGGTGCAGGGTTAATTCAAACCCACATGGAGAATTTCTCCTCTGCTTCTGTGGTAACAAACCAGTAGTCCCCTAATAAAGCTTGGCTGTGTGTCCCCCAGTAAGTACTGGTTAACTACCCATTAGCTTCTGATTTGATCTTCTTTATGTTCTTTAGTAACTACCCATTAGTTCTTGATTAGTTCCTCTTCATTTACAAGGTAATTAACCAGTAGCCCCCCAATAAGTTTTGGCTTTGTGTTCCCCAGTAAGTACTGGTTAACTACTCATTAGCTCCTGATTTTGTTTCTCTTTGGTTTCCTTAGTAACTACCCATTCGTTATTCATTAGTTCATCTTCCTTTACAAGGTAACTAACCAGTAGTCCTTTAATAAGGCTTGGCTGTGTGTTCCCCAGTAAGTACTGGTTGATTACCCATTGTTCCTGATTTGTTCCTTAGGCGCTCTCTAGTAGTTAAGCAAATTTTGTGTACCTTATTGTAAAGTGTTAGTGACTTCAGATATGCACGTGTACTCACTAGGACAGCTGAATAGTCTGGAAATCTAACATTAAGAGCAAATTCTCCTGCTTGATGACAACTTAGGTCATTTAACATGCAACAGGATGTTCTGCATCTCCTTCATGTCATACATCCACATGGTTTGGACAGAAAAGTCCAAAACAGTGAAACTGAATAAACTGATAAAGAAAGCTGACTGAGTTCTGCAGACTCATCTAGAGAAACAAATTACTAACTGGACACCATCTGCACGACAAACAACCAGAGACCTTTCCACCTCTGCTGCAACAAAACTTACTGCGTCAGAGTCTCATCTTTTACTGTTACTGACCTCATGACTCCTTTCCTGTCTCTCTTTCTTTTTTTTTAGACGTAAATGAGTGTGAGATGAGCTCGGCGCTGTGTGGGGAGGCCCTGTGTGAGAACTTTGACGGAAGCTTCCTGTGCATCTGCACCAACGACAATGAGGAATTTGATCCCATCACCAGCCGGTGCCGCTCCATGGGTACAAGAACAGGGCCAGCACTCAGAGAATTTAGATCTCCACCCTAACACTGGGAGACACAGTTTTCCCTGATTTAATGAGCTGTAACTTATTATCCAAACATGGGCGACAAGGAGGACATGGCTTACACTGCAATTTTGTCTGTTTCCATTTATTTTAAAGACTGAAACTGAGGTTGAGTAGGGTGCATACAGAAATTTACCTTAGTTAAATCTCACACAAATAATGAAGTTGAGCCAACAAAACACACTAAGGACTTTTTTTACTGCAATTTATTTCTTCATGAAAACAAGGTGTAACTAACATTTCCTGCGAAAATGCAGTGTGACTGCTTATTGCTAAATAACTTGCTGAAAAACAGCTGAAATTAGCTAAAAAAAAAAACTTGCTGAAATGTAGCTGAGATGAAAGAACAAGCCTAAATTAGCCGAATAAAGCAGAAAGAACACATATTTGCTGAATTAGGTTTAAATAAGCAGAAATGAACAGGAAATCAGCCAAAAAAAAATCTAAAATTGGCAACAACAAAAAAATAAAGTAGCCAAAAAGGCAAAAAAAAAAAAAAAAAAAAAGCTAAACCTTGGAGAAATTAGTGGAAAGAGCTGAAATGAGCTAAAAATGTGGAATTAGCTGAAAAGACTAAAATAGCATAAAACAGCTAAATAGTAGCTGAAATTGCAGAAAAAGCTAAAACTAGCAGAAAAAAACTGAAAGGGGTGTAACAAGCTGAAATGAGCATAAATAAGTTAATCAGGATGAAAGTAGCAAAAATTACCAAGAAAATCTTAAATGTTTCTGAAAACAGCTGAAATTAGCTGACAATTTTCTAAAAAGCTAACTGAAAATGTAGAACAAGCTTAAATAAGCAGAAGAAAACAGAACAAAAACACATTTGCCTAATTAGGCTGAAAGAAGCAGAAATGAGCACAAAACGTGGAACTTGTCTAAAAAAGCTGAAATTAGCCAAAAACAGCTGAAAAGTAGCTAAAAATGTAGAAAAAAGCTTAAATTACCAGAAGGAAGTGGAAGATCCCACATACAGGAATCACATATATTTAATGTTCTGTAATTGTAGAAAGACACAAAAAGTCATTTGAGTCATGAAGACACTGCCACCTCTGCAGCTCGATGGGTTTATGTGTGCATGAGTTGAGTGTATTTACATTATTGAGCGGCGCGCCCTCAGCTGGGATGTTTTTCCTTCTGCCTGACCACTAAACCCAAGTTATGCCTCTGTGTACCTTTTTGCCACATTTCGCTGTTTGCATTTGACGTGTGTGAATCAATCATGTGAGTCTGAATGGTGTGTTGGCTCACATGCCAGTGTTTCCATTTGGTTAAGCCAGCAGCTTAAGGGTGAAATGCCTGAGCCCATCGTTTTAGTGAATGAACAGTGTCACGAGAGGCAGGCGAGGGTACAGTTGAAGGATAAAAAGCACAGCAAGGTTTTATTTTATGCTATAACAGTGTGATGATGTGCTTCTGGTGTGTGTGGCTTCCAAAAATGGGAGATCCTTTCACAATTACCTGATCTGGGTTTAAATTTCTCTCCTAAACCACCATATTTCTGTGTAATCCACATTTGCTTCTTCTAACCAAGATTCCTGACATGTACTGCCAGCCCTTGAGAAATGTTTTCTTTGTTCGCTCACAGCTGAGACAGGCACTAAACCCAGGTTTTCATCCGCTGAAGAGAGGAAGCTGTGCTACTTTAATTTGAACGATGCAAACTTGTGCAACAACGTCTTGTCTCGCAACACCACCAAGCAGGAGTGCTGCTGTACAGCCGGGGCCGGCTGGGGCGACAACTGTGAGATTCACCCTTGTCCTCTCCTGGGAAGAGGTACGTTATGAGACTGTCTCACTACATTAACACTTCATGAAAATTAAGCAAACCAAATATACCTGTATGTTTTTATATTGTTTTAGCACCTTTTCCTTCACCAAATATTTTTTTATTCAACAGATGATTACGATGAGTTGTGTCCTCATGGCAGTGGATTGTTAACTTTGCCTGTTTCCTCTGGGCTGAGTCATGGTCAACAACATTACAAAGGTTAGCTTACTTCCCAATGCTTTTCATTTCTACTTGGAGCAACTTTGAAAAAGTATTTGCATCCCATTCACATCATTTAATATACAGATGTGAATCTCTGTTTTCAGATGCAAATGAATGTGAAATGTTTGGACCTGAGATCTGCAAGAACGGGCAGTGTTCGAATTTCTATTCTGGGTACACTTGCTTTTGTCACTCCGGCTTTTACTACGACAAAATTCGCTTGGAGTGTGTGGGTAAGAAATGACAGCTATTTCTGTGATATGACATCATTTGCAAGCCTATGTATCATTGAAACCAAAGTGTTTAAAAAAAATTGTTCAACATAATGGTACTTCTTCCAGTTATTTAACTGTCAACAATGGTGTACCACAAGGCTCAGTCTAAGGACCCACCCTCTTTACAAGCTACATAAGTAATGTAGGTCAGATCATTCCTGATGCATCCCTACATTTCTATGCCGACGACACAGTTGTTTATTGTCGAGCTAAAACAATTGCTAAGGCTTTCCAGCTTTTACAGTCTGCATTCGACATCATCCAGTAAGATTTGTTCCATCTTAAACTGATGCTAAATGCTGATAAAACCAAACGGATGTTGTTTTCAAACAGGAAGTCAATACCAGCAGTCCTTCATTCTATCTTATCTACGAATGGTGTTCCTATTGAGTTTGTCGACTCTTACAAATACGCAAGATTCTTGGTCGATGCACAGCTCTCTTTTAAGCGTCATGTCGAAAACTTCATAAAGAAATTGAATTTAAAATTGGGGTTCTTTTTTCAGAAATAAATCTTGTTTAACTCTTAATGCTTGGAAACGCCTTGTAACTTCTACTTTCTTTCTGGCCATTAACTATAGTAACATTATTTATATGAATGCTCCTGCAAGCACCTTTCAGATGTTGGACGCTAACTATCACGGTGCAATAAGTTTCATAACTGGCTGTAACTACTGTACTCATCACCATATTCGGTATTCACTGGTTAACTGGTCGTCGTTGACTTCATGCACTCTCACACTGGTACATTTTAATCTTTACATCACTCCTTAGTCTGCTGCCTTCATATATCTCCTCCTACATGTCACGTTGTCAGTGCAGTTACAGCATGCCCTCTCAAGACATCATTACCTGCAGCGCCCCATCAGTGCAGTCTGAATTCAGTAAAAGGGCCTTCTCTTACTCTGCTCCTGTAACCTGGAACACATTGCAAAAAGATCAGAAGCTCTCGACTTTGACCTCTCTAAGGGATTTTAAATAGTTAAGTTCAATTTAAAAATCAATGCAGACATGTTCCTGTTTTTAGTATTTTACCCCAGTTTGTAATTTATCATGTTTTTATTTCGTTTCATTTCACTACTTTTATTTACTTTTCATTTTATATGCTTTTTATGAGTATTGTTGTGCGTACCTCGTCTGTGGTTTTTGTTTAAAATTGGTCTCTCTTGTAAATGAGTCCTTGTGACTCAGTGAGACTAACCTGTATAAATAAAGGTTGAATGAATGAATGAAAAAAAAGAGTCACCATCTGCATGTCTCATTCAGACTGCAGTTCTAATAAACCTCATCACTTTCAGTCTTTTTATTTTATTCAAGGTCTGCTTAGAACACATGCACTAATGCATTTATGTTGCACTTTCCTTAATAATTAATGCCTGTTTCTCTGCCATTGTTGTCATATGTTTAGATTATAACGAGTGTGAATCTGGAAATGCCTGCGAGAACGGAGCATGCGTGAATACAGCTGGGTCATTCAACTGTTTCTGCAGTCCTCCGTTGGTCTTGGACAGTTCCCAGCAGCGCTGCGTTAGCCTCAACACCACGGAAGGTGTGCCGCACCGACACGCTCATCCATGATATTTGATCTTTCCTCTGTTTTCAAGGTGGAACTGTCACAATAATCAGAAATATGTCATTCGCCTGAAACAGAATAGTTCCTGACAGTAACATTATTGTGTTTTTCAAGAATTAAAAACTCCAGTCAGATTGGTACATCTTTGTTAATGGGGTTTATTTATTTATTTTTGTAAATTATGTAAGCACATTCAAGGCACGAATGTAAGAGATATTTGTGCAAAAGTGCACAAAAATAACTGCACCTAATACTGAAGAGGCTCAGAATGAACTGATCAATGATCCACAAGATAAAACATCTGCCATCGTTACAATGTGAACTAAACAAAAGTGATTTGATTTAATAAAGCTGATTAATTAAAACTCCCAAATAGTTCTTGTTATTGCAAATCAAAATATTTTAAACATCAGTTTTTGTCAGTATTGTTTTATTTTTATTTTTTTCTCAGTACCTTTTATTAAAACCTAATTTTCCTTTTCAGAAATTATAGACGCAGATCATGACGTGCACGTTAATATTTGCTGGCGCAGACTTGAGGGGGATAACGTGTGTGCAGATCCCGTCCAAGAGCGCAGAACCACATACACTGAGTGTTGCTGTCTGTCTGGCGTCGCCTGGAGCGAACAGTGTGCGCTCTGTCCCAGGAAAGACTCCGGTAAGAGATGTATAAAAGTCTTCTGTTTGATTAAGTTATTGTAATGTAATAAACTATCTTCTGGGGACATTATGTAATATTTATGACATTTACCCTGCCTTATACAGCTGACTATGCAACCATGTGCAACCTGCCAAGAAGAGAAGGTACAGACAGTCTTCGAGAGCGGATTGGATACGAGTATGGTCCAGAGGTGCCAGAGGGGCCAGAGGATCCATCAGAGCGTTTTCTCCCTCCGTACTGGGATAACTACGGTGGCCCGGCAGGAACATTTGATGTTCCTGAGAGTGTTCCTCTCTTTACTGACAGTGACTACAGCATTCAGCAACCCCCCTTCCGTGTTCCCGTCTTGCAACCGGGGAGACACCCACCTCAACCAGTGGAACCCTATGGGGGTGGGTATACAAACCCCAAGAGATGGTTTGCACTTTTAAAACTTTGCAGAACCTGCTAGGATAATGTCCTCTGGGAAGTTTCCGTTGAAAATGTTGAGTCCGTAACACTTGATCCGAGTCAAATGATTTGCCTAGTCTCAGAATATTAAAGTACTTGACTCGTTAAGGGACTTTCAAGAATGACCACATGTTTTTCTTATGTTTCTGTGTCCAATCAGAGCGCTATGTCAGCTTTGAGGGTCTCCAAGCAGAGGAGTGTGGGATCCTGAATGGATGTGAAAATGGACGATGCGTTCGTGTGCGAGAGGGCTACACGTGCGACTGCTTTGACGGTTACGAACTCAACCTGGACAAGATGGCCTGCATAGGTGGGCTGTCTCTCTGTCTCTCTCCAGCCTCTTTGACATCTTTCTCAACAGACCACCCACACTTAGACTTCCGAGCAATAAATTGCTCAGAAAACTTTGATCAATAACTTTACCTGTCACGTTGTTTAAGCTGTTTCACATGTAGCGTTGCAGCTTAAAACCAAATCCAAGTGAACTTGACCTTCACTTCTAAGCCCTTTGGATCCACATCTTGGATTCAATTCAGCAGTGAAAACCATGCTGTATGTCAAACTCAAGGAGAAGCTTTGAGTTTAACAACCTTGTGTTTAATTGGGGTTTATGGGAAACTAATGAAAGCAGTGCACTTCTTAAAACCTTCATGCATCACTCTTTGCTGTGAAATTCCCTAATCACACACTGCCAAGAATAAGGAGGCCTTGAATCTTGGCCATGCATTATATGAGATATATCTTTTAAATGCACTTTGTTTGTTTTATAAGAAAGCGAGACTGTCTCGCTGTAATGAAATGCCATGATTACAATGCTCTGTCTGCATATAAGCTTATCGCTTTCAAGGGCAGACGTTTTCCCATGAAAAGTGCCTGAACTCTGAGGAAAACACGTGGGAGCTGCGCAGCTCGTGCCATGCCTCCCCATATAAATATCAGCTACTCGCTTTCCCCCAACAGAACATGACATAAACAGAAAAGGGGTCGTATGAGAAAAGGACAGTCAGACCTCCCGAGCTGAAAATGTGGAGAAAAAAAACCAACGCGCTGAAGGCCAAAGAGAAACATAATCTAATGCATTGTTAATTTTACATTCCTGAAAGTTCAGCGTTGAAGAATTCAAGCTCAGCTGACACGCAACATGACGGCATGTTTGTTTAAAACGCAGTGAACATGATGCAGCATACTGCGGAGTGAAGGCTTTTTACCTCCAAAATGTATGTGGAACTAATTAAAACACACTTACTTCCTAATTACAAATCAGTGACTTTTTTTAATGTTTCCCCTTTGATTATTTATGTCACTGACAGACAATTTCATATTTGTTTTGTTTAATCATACTTCAGGATGCTTCCAGTATTCATTTTTAAAAGTCCAAGCAGCGAAAATGCATAAAACTCATTGCTTTTGTTTAGACTTTTCTTTTGATTCTAATTTGGTTCAATAAAAACTACCGGTATTTTGCTGCAAAAACATTTCTTACAAATTTCTCTACAATACTGATGTAACTCAGATCTTAATGTACTGTTCCCATAGCAGGGACTCTAAAAAGTAGATATCTCTTGGTAATTATCTTAATTAACTTGCACTACAGTCTACATGTGTCAAACTCTAGGCCCGCGGGCTAAATGTGGCCCTCGTTGACAGTTTCTCTGGCCTCCAAGATGCTACGTTAAACATAAAATACTTTTATAACTTGAATTATTTTAGTAATCTTTGATTATGATGTGGAAAGTGCAACAGAGAACGTCAAATGAGACCAATCAAACTCTTGCTGAAGAACATGTGACCAAGAGAAGATGGTGGGTCTTTGACTTGAGTTAATGTAGTTTTTGAAAATGGCCCTTAGTTTGAACCAAGTTTTTAATTTTGGCCCCTTTTTGTAAGAGAGTTTTACACAAAGTTATCGGAGCTAAGTCTCAAGATATCTGCGTTTATTTTTTTGACTAATATTTAGCATTGAACCTAGCAATTAGTACGCTGTGCATTTAACCCATTTCAGTTCAGAAGTCCTTTTTTTATCTTAATTTTTTAATGTTTGCCTTTTACACTTTTAAAATAATTGATAATAACTGTTATCAAATGTGACTCAGAAATGATTTTGGTAGTAGATTAACATGTTTTAAAGACTGCACGCTACAAATATCATTTATATGATGTATCAACACCTACATTTATTGTTAGTATTGTGTGCAGCAGGTTTAAATTCACCTACAATTTAGACGATAAATTGATAAATATATGAATGACTTCTCAAATTATTAAAAACATCTCTTGAATGTTAAAAAAAAAAAATTAATCGACTCTTCCTTTTAACTCAAATGGATTATGAAGTGTTTCCTATTTTCCAGCTTCAAAGGTGACAATTATAAAAAAACACAATAAGAAACATTCACTGCCGTCTTTTATAAATCACACTTTACATCTGTGGACCCTTATCAAAGCTGATCTTATTAGGACTATGGAACATTTTGGCAGTGTTCACGGACAATCTCACCACCTTTGTCGGCCTCTCCCCCCTGCAAAATGTCTTATGTCTATCTATGTTGCTTGTTTTTTGTGTGTGCTGAGGTAGTTTTTTGATACTGCGTCCTGTGTCAAGGACACAATGTGAGACCTTTTTTTTATACCTTCTTTTCTCATATTTCTCTTCCCTTTTCTTATTTAAACGATAAGGACAGCGCTTCACAACGAAGCTGCAGCCCCCGTGAACCCCGTCTACCCTTGCTGTCCTTGGACGGCTGCACTGAAATGTATTGTCACTGTGCTTAACACGACAATAAAGTTGATTCTGATTCTGACTGAGAATGTAAACTCCAAATTGTAATCCCCTGGTGACCACATTTATTCACACACTTTTTGTCCCGCTCCCTTCAGGCAGGAGGTTGAGGAGCATTAAGTGTAGAACCACTAGACTGAGGAACAGCTTCTACCCTGATGAATCCCTAATCAGGAAAAAAAAATCACTGTAATGCCACTTTAATTGGAGATATGTGACTTTATTTATGCTGCTGATTTCTTGCCTTTAAGCAAACTCATCTCCTCATAACAGACTTATATTCAGGCTGCTGTTTAATATATACAGTGCTGACATTGTGATGACATTATTATTATTATTATTATATACCGTATTACTTTACATTATTATTGTTAAGTGTATATCTTAGATCCTTGTATACTGTTTCTTCTTACACTGGGACCTTGAGTGCACAGTTTCGTTCCACCTCATGTACCACATGTGATGCAAACAACAATAAAGAACCTTGAACCTTGAACTTGTTACATCTTCTCTTCCTGCAGACATAAACGAGTGTGAGGACATCAGCGACAAGGTCCCGTTGTGTCAGAACGGGCAGTGCACAAACACAGAGGGATCCTACAAGTGCACCTGTTTGCCAGGCTTTGTGGCCTCTGCTAAGCCACACAAATGTATCCCAGCGATCCCCGAGTCCAGACTTAGGACGGCAGAAAACTGAGACAGACTTTTCCTGATCCCTAAGATCATCCTTTTGCCCTTTATTTTCCTGAAGGCACTAGAACCTCCGATGGTTACACTGTTCGTCCAAGCTTTTTCCCTTCATGACACACAAACACCAACCTAAACCTACAGTAACACAGATTCAGATCCCATCATGCACATTCAGGAACTGTTCAGTGAATGTACTACATGGGATTATGTTTTTGCCAGATTTCCATTTGCCTTAAAGGGATATTGTGGACTGATCTTTTATATTCAGTGACCCCAGGCAAATTGATATGCTAATATATTTTCCACAATAATTTCTCTGCCAATTTTATTATTTTCTTTTAAAATGTGTTATTTATTTCATTGACATGACGGGCCTCTGTAAATTAAAAAAAAGCTACTTTTTCAGAGGTTAGACTTGATTCTTTTATTTGACTTGCCTCCAATTGACTATATAGACACTGTGAGGAGAATTTGTGTTTTTGTTTTTTTTCTAAAGAAGGAATTTCACTATTAATGTGCCATATTTCACCCTTTATTTCACTGGGTCATCAAATGTCTGACTTTATCCCACAGCTGCCTTTCATTAAGATTCAAGCTGATGAATCTTTGGACCAAGAATCAAAAAAGTCAGCATAACTAAGCTTTTAAAATGTTCAAAAGCTGCAGCACTGCACAGGCTTTGAGAGACTGTAGATAAATATGATGTTCTGTGTAATGTTCTGAAAATGGTTCAATAGGTAGAACCTATTGTTTTACATCAGTTGCACATATTAAAATACTAACATCTTTTTGTATGCTTTCAATTACTTAGAATTCTTTTATCTTTGCATGGAGTAAAAAAAAAATCAGAGGAAAAAAACTCTCTCAGCTTTGATCTTGTTTTCTGGACAAAATTTTAAAAGTTAAAAAAATATGAACTTTTTGACAAATATCAGCAAAGCAAGCGGTTGATATTGAGTGTCAGTATTACGTAAGCAAAATATATTTTCTTGTTCCTCTTCAAAGCAGTTCACATCACACATGTATGTGCACTGACACATGTATGTAAAGTTAAAGGCTTTGATATATTTTGTACAGCTTTAGTACTATGTATTATTTTTTTCTCACATATTCTTTGAAAGCATTATAGCACAACAAATATTATGTTTGACATGCAACAAATGTAAGAAACATCCAGCATTTTTAGCTTTGTAGATTTATACATGTCTGTAAAAATGTCTTTAAAAGCATATATTTTTCTGTATGAGAAGAGTGGCTGACACCGTACCATAGGAACTGTATGTATACCCTGCCCTGTGGAGCAGACAATGAATTATATATTTTTTTTTTGCACGTGGCAGCACTGTTCTACAAAAACAAATGCTTTGAAATTTTGTGCATCACAACTTTACAGCTAAACTTTAGTAAAAGTGGGCATTATTTAAATGTTTGCTGATTTTCTGTGTAATTTATGTTTCATACAGTATTAGTAGTCTCATTTGGAATTTTGTATCATATCATATTCACTATTAATTCTTTCAATGCTCACTTTACTTTACTGTGTTCTTCAAATCATCGCCTGATGTAAACCAGAAGTCTCAGCACCGAGTCTAAAGTTGAAATATTTAAAGCGTTTCAAAAAAAATAATAAATACTTGATACAAATGTCCTTGTTGTAAAGTTGTGGTCAATATCATGCTCATTCATTTTGTTTACCTCCTGACTGTAATCACAATCAGTCATCAAAATAAATCATGAAAAACTAAGTCTCTGGAGCATAATTTATTGTGGTAAAATGAAAACTTTGCATTCATCGTGTTGCTCAGAGGTTAATTATTAAATAGAGCACTTCACAAAGGTAAACAAAAATATAAATATTTGGAAAAGCAGTTATGGCTTGTTATAATGTAAAAAAAAAGAGTATGATTTCCAAGAAAAACAATTATAGAAATACACATGGTTGGAAATAATGAATTAAAAAAAGATTTTTTAAGGAAAAAGTTTTGAAGAACAATGTCTCCCTCTAGTGGTCAAAAATTACAACTCGCTTTTTCATAGTTTTTATTTTTTTCACACCGAAAATTACACTTCCTGAATCTATAAATTTCCAGAATTATGATAACATTTGGAGTATCATTGCCTGGCAAAATTCTTTATTCATAAACAGAGAGTGCTAAGATCATATGATCCCCAGTTTTTAACATTTTTTAATCTGAATTCCAATTATATTTGAAATCTATGAAACATATTGAAACATATGAAGACCTATATGAAATGTTAATGGAACTGCCCACTAATGCATGCTAATCCTAATCCTAAAATATATAACCCACACTCCCCACCCTGTTGTAGTTTTGTTTTGTTTTCCTTTTTTTATTTTTTTTCACCTTATCATTCTTTAATCAGGTTTTGCCTTGATTTTCCCATATCTAAGTCTGCCTCTACTATGACCTTTTTAGATTTACACTATTGTGAATTGCCATGCTTGTTTGTATTTGTTTTTGATAAATAAAGTTTTCTTTAAAAAAAATGGTTGTTTTTTTTTTAATCGGAGCGCTCCTTTAATTTTGCATTACCTTTGTTAGTTGATCCATAGGAGAAATAAATTCAAATTAAGTAGACCTAAATTAATTGGGTCACCAGGAATTCAAGTTCAAACGTGGTCTAAAAACAAAGTATTTCCTAACTGATCCTCCGGGCTTTCCGTAGAAGACGAACTTGTTTCAAAGGGTTTTTGGGAAATTGAGTCTGATCCTGCAATACCGTGTTTTTGCGTCCATAGACATTAATACGTTTGCGTCCCTCGTTGTTTTAGCTTGGAATACATTTCCCAGAATGCAATGTACCCATAGCCTTTTCGTTGTAGAAAGAAATACAAGCTTATTTGCGTTGCGGGGCTGCTAAACAACTATTATAAATAAAATAACGGTATTATAGTAGACAGTTAGCTCTATTAGCTAGCATATATTTGAACGCTGCTTCGGCTCTAGATTGAAGACGTGTAGTTTTGATTAAAAAAACTTACTAGCTCAACGACAACCATGTAAATTAATACTTTTATGTTTGGTCGTTTGTAAAGTGAGAAAGTGTAGTATGAATGTGTCTTGTGTTGACAGACACCTGGCTCACCATGTTTGTGAGTATCTATGCCAGCAACTCACCTCAACAGCTGTATGAATCTTTACCAGTCCATTTATTTTACATGATTGAATAGTACAAACAAATTCTTGAGCTATACTTTGATTCAGACTGGAGTTTGACTTCCTAATGGCAAAAGAAGAATGCATTTTTCAATGGGACAAATCCAGGGATACTTCCACACTTCGAAACAGGAACATCTGCCCTCCAGCAAAGCAGAAATACTCAGTCAGTCCTGTGTCAAAGGACAAAACCAGTCCAACAGCTGGGCGTTTGTTAGAAGATGACACCCAGTCCTGGAATGGATCAGCTTCCTCCTCATCACCCAGAGCCAGAGGAAGGGATGATTCCCCAGCTAAAGTGGGGCTGATGCTGGTGGTTGGGCTGTCATTTGCTACACGCCTTTACAAGATAGCAGAGCCCCCACATGTGTGGTGAGTAGCATCTTTCTGGTTCGTGCACCTCATTAGCATCTTTCTATGACTCTTGTGTGTTTCAGCTGGGACGAAACTCACTTTGGAAAGATGGGAAGCTACTACATCAACAGAACCTTCTTTTTTGATGTTCATCCTCCTCTTGGAAAAGTGAGCGGGCTGAAGAATGCTTTTATGAAGACTTAATACTTTTCATGCAAACCTGATGGAATAAATTCTCCATTGTTTTGCAGATGCTGATTGGTCTTGCTGGTTATGTTACTGGCTATGATGGCTCCTTTCCTTTTGTAAAGCCAGGAGACAAATATGACCATCACAATTACTGGGGGATGAGAGGAGTATGTTGCTTTTCACAAAGACTGTGTCAAAGATTTGAAGGGTCCTGTATATTAAAGTAGCTGCCATTTATGTTCTGCCTCTTTTTGCAGTTTTGTGCCATTCTGGGCTCCTTTCTTCCAGTTTTTGCCTACCTCATAGTGCAAGAGCTGTCTCAGTCTCTCACTGCTGCGCTCATCACTGCCACCCTGCTCATATTTGGTTAGTTTTTTTAGTTTTCACCTTTTACACAACCTAGATCACATTTTAGAAGATATATTATTATAATGTCCTTGTTTGTCTCGCATAGCAATGTATTGGGATATGAAAATGGAAGAAATGTTTAAGTTTTGTCTATCCCGCTGATATTAGTGCATAGTTATTACTAGATAGGAAACAAAATAAGGTGAATATAAATGATATTAAATTTCACATCATTTAACGTGTTTACATTTTTTTGTGTGTAAAATGCAATGTTTTAGTTAAAATGATATGTTCTTGTTTCCACCTGCTTCCTGACAGACACAGGCTGCATCACCATCTCCCAGTACATCCTGTTAGACCCCATCCTCATGTTCTTCATCATGGGAGCTGTTCTGAGCATGGTGAAGTTCAACCAACAGAGGTGCAGGTAGGAGACCACCGAACATTTTCTTTGGCTCATTGTTTGTTTCTCAGCAGATTTATCAGCTGGCCTTCTTAAAGAGTAAAATTGTTCTAATGGTCAACTTGGATTTAGTTTAAATATAAAAATGCTTCTGTTTAAAAAAAAAAAAAATGGAACGTCACACTTAATTTTTGCTTTATATGTTTAATACTCTCATTTATTTATTGGTTAGTTGTAATATATGACATTAATCTGAAGGCTTAGGTCATTTTCTTACTTTCTATGTTTAATTTGTGGCAAACTGAATATAGACCATTTTCTGTGTAAACGTTTTAAAAACAGAAAACTGACAGATTCATTCTGATCGATATTTTTAGTCCTTTTTCTGCCTCCTGGTGGCTCTGGCTCCTGCTGTGCGGCATCAATCTTGCTGGGGCTCTCGGGGTGAAGTTTGTGGGTCTGTTTGTCATCCTTCTGGTGGGACTGAGCACAGTCTGGGACCTCTGGGAACTTTTGGGAGACCTGAACCTTTCACTGGTAAACTGCAATACTTTTGCTACGATTGTATATTTTCATATTGACCTATAAATGTCACTGCCATTCCCATCTTTTTTTTTTTTTCTGGCCGCAGATGGACTTCGCAAAGCACTTTCTGGCTCGGGTCGTTGGGCTCATTCTGCTTCCTCTCTTCCTCTATATTACAATATTTGCGGCCCACTTTGTTGTATTAAACAAAAGGTGAGCGTGACTTTACTCAGCGTGATGACATGCACCTCATTTTTTGAGGAGTTGTGTTGATTATTATTTCTTGCTAGTGGGCCCGGTGATGGTTTCTTCAGTTCTGCCTTCCAGTCCCGGCTAATAGGAAACAATTTGCACAACGCGTCCATGCCTGAGTGTGAGTTCAAACGCACATTTGAATAAAACCAAATACGTTGCTGCAAATCTGTTCACTGAAAGATGGTATTTTATCCATGTTAACTGATGTGCTTCTTTATGTTTCACTAACTTAATATCCCACATTTGTTTTTTTAGTTAGACTGTGTTTAGAATCAGTTGCACAATTATTGGATCTTTAACCTAATTGTTAATATAAAAGTTTTGTTTTTCCCCAGTTTATTAGATCATGCTGTCTCCTTGATTTGTTGATGTTCTTCTGTAGATCTGGCATATGGCTCCATCATTACAGTGAAAAACCTCCGTATAGCTGGAGGTTATTTACACTCGCACTGGCATTTATACCCAGAGGGAGCAGGGGCAAAGCAGCAGCAGGTCAGCCGCTACTTTGAAACACTGAATTCTATGTAATCGGTTTTATTCTGAAAGGTCTTTTTTCTGTTATTAACAGGTGACAACTTACCTCCATAAGGACCAAAACAACTTGTGGCTCGTTCACAAACAAGATGATGATTGTAAGAACATTCTGATGATCAGCTTTGCAGTGATGCCAGATTCCCCTAATCCCAACTTTATTAGTTACACGTTTTTTTAATGCTTGTCTGTGCTCTCATTTAGTTCAGAACCACCATAAGTGCTATGTTTGGCCTCATTCCATCACATCCTAAAGACTAAAAACTGTCCCCTTTAATGAGGGCATTAACAGCTGAGGCACCTGGTGAAGTGATAGTGTGTCTTTACTCTGTGTCTATTGTTTATCTGTAATAAGCTCAGTCTGGTACTCCGGATTTGGTTCGACACGGTGACATCGTCCGATTGGAGCACAAAGAGTAAGTAGCACACGTTTACTTTGCCGAATGAAGTCCCTGTTTAAATTTTATACTTTTTTTTTTTTTATTTTATTTTTTTTAGAACAACCCGTAACCTTCACAGTCACCTCCATCAAGCTCCTCTGACCAAGAAACATTTTCAAGTTACAGGTTATGGAGCTGTGAGTAGACCTGTGGCATAAACCTTTTTTTTTTTTATTTGTTTTATTTTAATTTAATCAGATTTAAACTACTTTTGTTTCTGTTCTTAGAACGGAACCGGGGATGCTAATGATCTGTGGAAGGTGGAAGTGTGCGGCGGTCGGAAAGGCGATCTGGTGAAAGTTCTGCGCAGCAAAGTTCGCTTTCTGCACAAGGCTACGGGCTGTGTGCTGTACTCCTCTGGAAAGACTCTTCCCAAGTGGTAAAGCTTCACCTTCTCCGCTCTGATTTATTTCTGTGTGCAGACAGTCGACGTGTGCTTGAAGTTTGGTTTCTGTCCAGGGGCTGGGAGCAGGTCGAAGTGACCTGCAGTCCCTACTTGAAGGAAACTTCGAGCTCTCAGTGGAATATTGAGGATCATATCAATCCCAAACGTATGATTAAACATATTTATGTTTATAGTTATTGATGTTAAAAAAAACAACTTCTAAATAGATTTAATTTCCCTCTGTGTGTTCTGGCAGTGCCCAACATCAGCCTTTCTGTATTGAAGCCCAGTTTTCTGGAAATCTTACTGGAGTCCCACATAGTTATGATACGAGTAAGTAACCACAAGAAAACGAATCATTCAACCTGCTTTCAAATTGATTAGTTACAATCTGCCCATTTAAATAAAAACATGTTTGTTTGTTTATTTAGGGTAATAGTGGCTTGAAACCTAAAGATAATGAAATGAACTCCAAACCTTGGCACTGGCCAATCAACTACCAGGTGTGGATATATGTTTTGTTTTTATAAAACACAGTTTAGGTCAATAACTATTATTAATGCCAAATGTTTGTCTGTTTTTTTGTTGGTTTTTTTGTGAAGGGGCTGAGATTTTCAGGCGTTAATGAGACAGAGTATCGCGTTTACCTGCTGGGAAACCCTGTAAGTAACCCTCATGTTTTTGTTGATATTGATGTCTAGATTCATTTCCTGATCAAATCGTCTGTTTTTAGGTGGTTTGGTGGATAAATCTGGCCAGTTTAGGATTGTATCTCATCATGGTAGCAGTGGCAGCTGTAGTCGTTCAAAGAGGATTCTCACTGGGCAAAGAAAGAACTGGTACGGATGGTGACAGTAGAATCAGGAGATCTAAACGTCAAATAAAGGCCTTGTGAACTATTGTGTGTATTTCAGAGCATTCACGTGTGCTCAAGGGAGGAGGAGGACTGCTGCTGCTCGGCTGGCTGCTGCACTATGCCCCCTTCTTTATTATGGGCCGCGTTCTCTACTACCATCACTACTTTCCTGCTATGCTCTTCAGCAGCATGCTAACAGGTACCAAAGTCTGAAGCATGTTGCCCATTTCCAGTTCTCAGACTGTACATGAGAGGTGCAGAGAGAGACTTGACACCAAAAGGACGTGTGATAAAACACAGTTCAGATTTAAGAAAAGTAACTCCAAATTTAGCATTTAAATGCTCTCTGCATTTTAACTCGCAGTTTATAGCATAAGGACTTTATTGCAGTATTTTAAACTAGCTGCAGAGTTTTTTTTAACTCTAAAAATAGAAACCCCAAACTTTCCATCACTGTTTACAAATTGCCTTTTATCTTTTGTGCCCTCTGCCTTTGCTACAGTTCAATGCCATCAACTATTCATCATAAAACACCTCATTCAGATGGATTAAATGAACGTCACAAATTAATAACATAGCATCACTAAAAGTTCCTTTTTGGTTTTTAGGCACATAAAATCATGAGAAAGTAGTAATTTGAGGGATTTCTCATTTATTTTTAAATGGCAGTTAAACTTGAAGAAAAGCAGTAAAATACAACCCATTGTGATATTTTATTAAACCAAAAGATTATTGCTGAAAGAAACGAGCCCCAGATATTTTAAGTAATGGAAAAGATACCTGATTAAGTATGATTTGAAGTTTAAAATACACGTTCATGTATAGTTCTACTTTAAAAAAACATTGTGTGGGTAGTTATTGAAATATAAGAAAATTATGTCCTGAGTAAAGTGCTCTTTGTTTCACAGGAATGACACTGGACATCTTTTTAAGAAGTACCAATCTGCTCCTTCACCCTCCTTATTCTGACTGGCTGCAGAAAGGCGGGCTGACGGTACTCTTCTTTAGTGTTCTGTACAGGTGAGCTGGTGGAAGGGATGTCTTGTTTGTATTTCACTTACAAACTACATGTTTTTGTGTGTTTTATACCAAGTTTTATACCCACTGGCTCAAAAAAATGTTCTTTTAAATAGAGGTCTATTTTATTTAAGTGTTTGTTAAACATTTTTAAAGTTGGACAACTAAGCTTTAATCAGTATAGAAGTGTTTATCTACCGCTGACCCCACTAACACTGTTTTTTTTTTCTTTCTCCATCAGTTTCTACCTTTTTCATCCGCTCTCCTACGGCATGACGGGTCCTCTAGCACATGAAGCAGGCAGCGCCATGTTTGGTCTAAAGTGGATGGACTCCTGGGAGTTCTAGTCATTCCCCACAGCATCATAACACTAATGTTTTGTATTTCTGCAATTCTGGACTGAAAGATTTTTAGATTTTAAGTGTTCACACAGAAGTAGTTTTCTTAAGGTACAGACTTAATTGTTAATTGTCCACGTTTTTTTGTCATACTACTTGATACGTTGTAAGCTAGCATTATTGAAGAATGTTTTAGAAGACAAAATTACTGAAAATGTGCTAATCAGTGTTGAGGAGTTTATGAGTTAGATTTTAATCATAGCTAAAATGCCTTACATCAAACTACAACTTCTGTTTTTAATAATCAAAAGTGCCTGACAAGAACAAAGATGAGAATGCTTAAAAGGTTCAAAATGTTGCTTTTTTTTGTGTGTGTTATTTTTAAATTCATTAATGCTATCACAAGACATGTAAGAGTGTTTTTTTTATTTGTGAATGCACTGTTCTTGTTCATGGTAATTTGACATAGTACTGTGGAGTACAACTACTGATTAAATGTTTACATTTTTAGAGAGAACAATAAAAGATGATATTCTTGTATTCTCTGCTTGCTTGTGCTTACTGTAAATAATCCATCAGGGAAAAAGTCTAACAAGATAGTTCAACAGAAAAAATAAATAAGAAATGTGTACAAATAAAAATAACCTAATAAACTGTTAATTTAAGAAATAAGTTAAACATTTTCTGGATACAGTAAAAGAACTCAGAAGAGGTCGTGAAATTAAAAAAAAAAAAAAGCAGAATAGTTGATTTTTTTGACACTTTGGATTAGGCTTTTATTGAACATATCCAGTTTTTGCAGACATAAAACATATTGGAGAAGAGCACATAATGAAGAACAAAAGGTAACACACTTTAATAATAATAAGAATTTGTTAAATTGAAAAAAATCCCATTTTTCCCTTCTCCATTTTTCTCAACAATTAAAAAAAAAACACTTTTGGTTGATGTGATCCTCGGGCGCCCCCTTGTGGTCTTTCTCTGAAGCACAAAATAACGTTTACTGCTATTGGCTGTCGTTTGTCACGTGATCATAGTGAAGATGGCGTCTCCGAATGGAGGTAAATTTTAATTCCTTTTACAGATACGCTGCTAATAAATCGTCAATTTAACCATTTGAAACGCACCAAATTGGTAACAAATACATTGTGGATTTAATTGAACACCCGGAGGAGAAAGATAGACACATTAATGTTGTATTTTCATTTGGTTGGAGGTGGTTTTCCGTTGACTAAAGGCTCTGCTGGTGTTTGTGTCCCACCAATGTTCAAGGAAAACCAGCTGTCTTCAAGCTGCCGTAGAAAAGCAACTCACAGCTGGTGTTTCACACACTACCAGCTTTTAACAAACTTTTTGGCTACATACAGGCGTAACAAACTCAGTTTGTGTTCGTATTTTTACCAATTCGTGGTGTTTTTGTTACAGAACAACGTCATTTTAAACGGATGATTTATGATGGCGGCAGCAGACAAGAAGTTTCGGTTTTCCTACATGTCTTGTTCAGATTGCGTTATGCTGTAGTGTTTATAATACAGTTCAATAAACTAATATATTTCCATTTTAAATGAACTCAGCGAGAGTTGAAGGTGTTGTAATTAAAAACGCATTTTAAATGAAAATCAGTTTTGAAATATGGGATTCGTTTTATTTAGGAATCTATCCAGTTTTAAAACGCATGTGTGGCTTGAACACGTTTCCTTTTTCCTCCCCACTTAAAGTGGACAAGCTGAAAATGTGCTAAATTTATGTAGGTACCAAAATATTAAAAACTTCCTTCATCCCATAGTAGTTTTATTTTTAGGGACTGATTTGCTCAGTTTTATTCGAATGATTCAATTAATTTCCAAACCCCGCTAATAAATCTATTACTGAATTGATTTTTAAGAGGAAGTGTGTTGTCAGGAAGATACATAAGTTGTTGGAAGAAGAGAGGGATTAATTTTTTTTTTTGAATGCTCTTACAAAGTTATAATTTTAATCAAGTTGAAATACAGAAGAACTTGAAGCAAGCAGTTTTTGTATGAATAAAATCCACCATTATCTTTGAATTGATGGTGCTCTGCAAAGAGAAATGATACCAACACCCACTTTCAGTCTTATGCAGAAGACAAATCATCTTTAACTAAGTGAGTGACAGCACATTAGTATTCTGTTTATATAAAATTTAGTAAAATAACAGCAAAGGATATGATGTATGCACTATATCCAGCTCAGATTGGAAGTTATGTTTGCTTCTCCACTTCAAACCTGAAGTGGTTTTGAGCACATTATTTGAAACAAATCAAAATTTTAAACCCGTTTGTGTGATTCTGAACCCCTTATTTCTTTTAAAGAAGAGTAAATGTCATAGTTAACTTTAGTTGGAGCATTTATGTACTCGCGTTATGAACGACTTCTGGGAAGAAAAACCTTTGTGATAATTTTTTCCGATACTCTTTATTACATTTTTTTTGCATCTTTGTGTCTAATCCTGTCAGGTGATGAGTTTGAAACTTCCCTGATAAGTTTGGAGCGGCTGGACAGAGCATCGCCAGACTTGTGGCCAGAACAGTGTAAGTTTTTATCCATTCAGCTTCTCTTTGTTTGTCATTAACAGCATTACTTTATGTTTATTCTCAATTGTCTTGCCATTTCCCACACAGTGCCAGGAGTTGCAGAATTTGCTGCATCTTATAAAAATGTGAGTTCGTTTTGCTGTCGCTGGTTGTGATTTTGAAGCAAGATGAAGAAACAAGCTTGACTCTGCGATGCAAAAGCAGGAGATGTCTGCTGAGATTGTCTTTTCTTCTGTTTCTGTTGCAGCCAATTACAAACTCCCCTCCCAAGTGGATGGCTGAACTGGAGACCGAGGACATTGAAATGTTAAAAGGTTGATTATTTTAGTAGATTTTATGTGTGCCTGCAGCATTTTATGCTAAAACTGTTGTACTGAGGAGTATCAACAGAATCTGTAATCCTTTCAAGAAGAATTTTAATTTATTGGATTTATCTGCACGTAGCTAAATCGTTTTGATACATGCCCTGCAATCATTCTGCAGAGCTTGGGAGTCTGACCACTGCCAACCTGATGGAGAAGGTCAAAGGACTGCAGAACCTTGCTTACCAACTGGGTTTAGAGGAGTGTAAGTACAAGAATAACAAAAAAGTTACTGGTCAGCTGGTTTCTGGCAACTCCCAATAAACAGTTGTGAAACCCATGTGTTAAAGTCAATCACCACTAGATGGCGCTAACAGTCCACTCAGGCTTTTTACTACTGAATTAATTGTGTCTGATTTCACAGCAGCCTTAATTGTGTTCACCTTCAAACCAGATTGACCTCACATTATTAAAGAAACGGAATAAATACTGTCGAAGCTATAACTGTATAAAAATTAGTAAAAAGAAGTTGACTTTGAAGACGTTTAACGCAGTGGATTTAGGTCAGTCCTGTGCAAAACAAAAAGTAAAAAATAAGCGCATGCCAGTAAGAGCTCATGCAAAAACTGCTCAAGAATTTGATGGATGCACAATCTCTTTATTTAATCCATTCCCTCCCACCTATATTGTCCTAATCCTTCTGGAGTGTGGATTAGAGGGATGTAGCTAAATGCTGATATTATAAAGCAAAACATTGGTGTGAATGATTTTAGTGCAAAAGCGATGAATTGTACTTCCGCCTTTTATGTCGGTGAGATATACGTAAAATTTAAAAAAAGTTTGGTCTCTTTTTCAGGTAAGTTTACGAAAAATAATCTGAGAATAAACTGCAAGATGGATAGCAGCTGTATCTTCTAAATCTTTTATTTTGTGTTAAGTGGTGCTTAGATAAATACAAAAAAAAGGTTTATACTTAAAGTTTTTAGTGGAGGGTTTGATCAAATGTTAATAGCTGCATTAGTGAAAATTGTTTACGTAAAAAGGTCATTAAATTGGACTTTAGTGTGATTTGAATTTCAAAGTTCTGCTCCAGCGGTACAACCTAAAGCAGAAACCACGTTTATTTGCATAGGTCACATGTTGCGGTTTTATTTACTGGTAGATAAAAAATACATTTTGTTTGTTTGACTTCTCTCAACCAGAAGAAGAGTGTAATCTTTGTGGTGTGAAGCCGTTGGCTGTCATCGGTGCAGGACTGCAGGCTTTGCAGTCAGGTCATGCACCTCGGCATGACGGCACACAATGATGGTTATTATTGGTGTCAGAGCAGCCCTGTAATCGGTGCCTGTTAATGCTCTCTGGTTTAATTTTCTCCTTTTCCTAGCTGTCAGGGGAGGCCCTGTAAATCTCAGCTACTTTTTCATCATGTTTGTGCACTCTTCACTGCCCGTAAACATACTTGGCAGAAGACAGGATTTACTGCCCCTCTCCTATAACATGTGGATCATTAAAGAGGGAGCTGGTTAATGGGCAAAGCACAATCAAGCAGTGAAAACTCAGCCACCACACTGCAGCGAGAAAATGAATTCAAGCCGTACTAATGCAGGTTCCTGACTCGTTTATGTTTAAACAATTGCTAGGAATAGATGCAACACACGGTCCTGTCACCAGCACCTCCAAAGTGTGGCCGTGAGACGCTGGACCGGTTAGTCCCAGAGGGATTTGGCGCGTGCCTCCTCTTCAGGCCCCAGCTGTTCCTCACCCCGTGATGAATGCCCCAGTCGTGGGTGTGAGTGTGGGCATCAAGCCCCAAATCTCAGGGGAAAGCGAAAGAGTCTGATAAGTGCAGCTATTGGAGGTAATTGAAAGCTGAGTGTTCCTGTGGGATTCACTGAAGGGCCTCAGCTACTGAGACGGCTGGTTGGGTGGCTGCTGGAGTCAGTGGTTTTGGCATTTTCCCACTTGTGGGCTACAATCTGCTGGCTATCATTTAACTCTCTCGGATGTGCTGTTTATTTGGAGGCGTTATACATGACTGTCCACTAAATGCTGACATGCTTGAAAGAAAAAACTTTTGACTAAAATCGTGCTCCAGATCAAGCTATTGCATTCTATGTGCATTATGATTTTTTTTTCTTTTGCTGTGTAGCTGCTGTTCAAAATAGTTTTTTTTTTTAAGTGAGAAAAAACATTTTCATAAAAATCAGATTTTTTTTAATTTTCTAAAATTCAAAAATGATTCACTAATTCAAAATATGTTTTGTCTATTTGGGAAAAGTTCTCTTTTGAGTTGAAACTCATCAAGCTTCCATGTTATATTAAAACAACAGTTTATACACTGCCTGCCAGCCCCCCCCCCCCCCCCCCTGGTGCACGATCAACAGGTAAACCGTCACCAGGTGACAATGCACCAGGTACTACAAAACCAAAGATCCCCCCCCCCCCCCCCCCCCCCCACC